AATCGCTACAAACTTCCTATACGGGTGGGCTTGCCATTGTGTTGACTATCGGTTAACGGCTCGGGATCCCGGAACAGAAGACCTTGTATACTCGAAGGGTACATCCATTCCGCGAAATGGATGACCAAAGCTCTGGATCGGTCAGAATCGAGAAGCTGACCGCATCTAACTTTTACATCTGGAAGCAGAAAATCCAGCTACTGCTTGCTCTCCGAGATGTCGATCAATACGTTTTTGATGATATCCCGGAGAATGCGACCTCAGATGACCGGAGAAAGTGGATCCGTGGTGACGCAAAAGCAAAGGCAGTCATCGGACTCACGCTTTCTGATGACTACTTGCAACATGTGCGAGGGTGTAGCAGTGCGAAAGAGACATGGGAAGCAATTCTGAATGTGTTCGAGGGTCATACTTTGCTCAACAAACTTGCCGCCCGTCGTGACTTTTACACTGTATCCATGCTCCCATCCGAGAAAGTGCTCGTGTTCATCAATCGTGTGAAGCAACTTGCTGCCAGATTGCAGTCAATGAGTGTTGAGATTGACGATAAAGAAATTGCAATGGCTGTGTTGAATGGCTTGCCTTCACGATTCGATAACCTGATTGTTGCTCTTGACGCACTTGGCAATGAAGATAAAGTGTTCGAACTCGAGTTTGTGAAGAGTCGTCTGCTGCAAGAAGAACAACGAGAAAGCATGAAGACCGCTTCTGCTTCATCACCACATGCACCTGCACTTGTCAATCGTATGCCTATTCGACGCGATATGAAATGTACGAATTGCAATAGACATGGGCATACTGCAGCGCGTTGCTGGGGCAAGGACGTGAATGGGCGCCGACCTGCACCGCCAGATGGGTTTCGGTCACGCAACACTGGCTTGAAGCCAAGTGCATTCGTTTCTCGAGATGAAAATTCTACTGCTGCCTTTGCAGAGAGTGACTTTACTTGCTTGCTTTCGACTTCCACTCCAGAAAAGAGGGCTGCAAACGCAAGGTCATGGCTGGTCGATTCCGGTTGCAGCGCTCACATTACGTTTGATCGCTCTTTGTTCGTTACGTATGAACAGATGCAATCTGGATCAGTCGAGATGGGCACGAAGGCTAGAGCTAATGTCGCTGGTCGCGGCGAGGTAGAATTCATGTTGAACGTCAACGGTAGTCTCCATCCTTGCAAATTGTCAAACGTTTTGCATGTCCCTGATTTCGGATACTCGCTACTGTCTGTTAGCCAAATGGTTTCAAAGGGTTTGCAAGTGTCATTCGAAAATGAGAAATGCCGCGTTACTGCAGGACCAACTGTAGTTGCCACAGCGAGTCAAGTTGGGGATTTGTACATACTTGACGTCATGAATGAAACCTTTTCTGCTCACGAAGTTTCCCTGCAGACGCTACATGAACGCATGGCCCATGTTAATGTACAAGGAATCGCATCAATGATTCACAATAATGTGGTACGTGGCATCAACGTTCGTCAAAGCGATGTGATCAGTGCAATGAATCCGAAGTCTGACAATCACTCTCCCATTTTTCCTGCGTTTGTGTTTGGCAAAGCAACGCGATCAGTAATCCCAAAACAGCGATCATCGTCTCGAGCACAGAACTGTCTTGACTTGGTACATTCTGACGTTTGCGGTCCGCTCGAAGTACAGTCCATTGGTGGTTCGAGATACTTCATTACATTTGTAGATGATCACTCGAACTGGGTAGTTGTGTACACGATGAGAAATAAATCTGAGGCGTTTGCAAAATACAAGTTGTATGAAAAGTTGGCTCAAACCCACACTGGTCGCAAAGTAAAGGTGCTTCGCACTGATCGAGGGGGAGAGTACTTGTCGACGGAATTCAAGTCGCATTTAGATTTAAACAGTATGCAGCACCAACTCACAACGGCGTACACCCCTGAACAAAACGGTGTTGCTGAACGTTTAAATCGAACTTTGATTGATCTTGTCCGCTCTAGGCTTTCTCATAAACAGGTCAGTAAGCGATTCTGGGCCGAGGCTCTTGCCACTTCGGTATATGTACGCAATCGAGTTACTTCACGGGCTTTGCCCGTTAATACAACCCCGCACCACATTTGGATGAATTCTACTCCAAATGTTGGCCATTTGCGAGTATTTGGGTCAAAGTGTTGGTATACATTACCAAGATTAGAGCTCCGTAAGCTGGACTTGCGAGCGCGTGAAGCGATGTTTCTTGGGTACCCGCAATGCAGTAAGGCATACAAACTTTGGGACGGAGAGTTGAATAAAATTGTTGTGTCACGGGATGTCAAGTTTGATGAATCGACATGTGGGATGCATGACATTCCTGCACACGAAAGTGATTCAATCAACTCTGATGTTGACGTTGTATTTATTGAAAATGTGCGACCACATGCTGTTATCTGAAAAGATCAAAATCGAGTGACACGTGTACATGACTGCACGGTCCGGGCGCTCTTACCCATATCACGACATGACACGTGTAAAATCCCAGATTTTGGGGTTCTGGGGACGAAAGTGGCCTCTCGGAGGGTCATGCAAATTTGCATAGTTTTGCCAAGTGGAACCTTGGCCCGTAGCACTATAGACTACACAGGAAATACTGCAATTCTATTGGCCCTCAGGTCTAATGCTGCAAATCTATTGGTCGAGCGTTGTCCACGTGTGCGTCATTGGCCTTGTGATGTACTTTAAATGGCCTGTATATGCCATAATTACGTTGTTTTGGGGGTTTCAAGTGGTTTGCCATGGTTGTAATGGGTAATTGCATGGGGCCCCCGGGGCGGGACACATGTATGCCGTGTACACATGTACACGTCGCCAGGTGGATTCCTGTACGTACACATGTACACGCATCCAGGTGTATGCACATGAGGGTTTACAGTTTTACAGTGTCAGACTGTTTGCGATCCTGCGCGTGTCCGAGTACAGTACATGTGAATCAAAAGTACAACAAGTATTTCTCGCGAGAGGAATACAGTTGTGCGATTATTCTGTGTACGCGTCACGCTGTATGCGAGTCTTGCGTGAGCACGCGCCGTTGCACTGTGCTCTCGTCATGGTGCGCCGTTGGATGCAAGTTCATGACAGTACTCGTGTGATTTACATGTATTCTCATGTGAGTTGTGTAGAAAGTCTGGATGCACATTGTTATAACTTGCCATAATTGTCTGACAGTGCTTGGCGAAATTAGTAAGGTGAGAAACAAGGATACGTATGGCGATTGTGATATGAAAGACGTTTGCGTTGTTGGAAATAGACAAGTGCCAAGTTGTTCGTTGCACAACAATGAAGTCTGGCATGACTGGATGCAGATTAGTAAGGTGTGAAACAGTTGCATGCATAGGGCCATGGTTTACAGTCATTTGGAATGTGTAGAAATAGTTGTGAGCTAATAGTTACGAATCGATTCGTAAGGTGGAAATCGAACAGTATGGTCGGGCCACAAGAGGACCGCGCTTGGTCGCGCATAGTAGAGTATGGTTTACTGGGAGTCGGAGTAGAGCGATAGTGTAGCACTCCAAGTGTATAAGTATTGCAGGAAAACGGCTTCAAAGTAAACCTCGGCACCAACTCCTTCACTCACACACATCAACCTGCCTTCCTTCTTTCCCTTGCCCCTCCGAACCTACCATTAGGTTATGGGCCTAGTCCTTCGCTGTCGTTTCACTGCATGAGTCTGTCGTTCTCGTTCCGTTGTTTCTGCCGTCGTTGTCGCTGTCGTTTTCGCTGCCGTTTCTCGTCGTTCTTTCCGCTGGTCTTCTCGCTGTCGTTGTCGCTCTCGTTCTTGCCGTCGTTCTTGGTTTTGGTTTTGGCTGCTGCTGTCGTTCTTGCTCTGTTGTGTGAATTGGTTTTGGTCATCGCCCCCGCTGTCTTCGTTGTCTTTGTTCTTGGTTTGGCTTTCGTTCTTGCTGTGGTTCTTGCTGCTGTCTCTGTCTTTGGTCTTCGTCTTCGTTTCCGCTCCCGCTACCGCCGTCGTCGTCAATCTCGCATTTGGTTTTTCTTCGTTCTCTCATGCAAAGTAAGTTTTGAGTTTCTTTCCATTTCCTACACATCTAAGTGATTGTCTTTGCACGTTTTGGTGGTTCTTAAGAGCAATAATTCCAAAATCTGTTACTGACGATTATCTTCATATTCCTTATTGTGAATACCTGTTTTTACGGGGTTGTGTTAGATCTGGAATTAGTACCGGTGCGCTCTGCGCCTGGGAAGCTGGTCACCGGTCGAACGGTTCGGACATCGGAGGTCGTATCCATTGAGGTGCTTGAGCCTGAGGATCAACCTTCACCTCGGCTCGCGCTTCCGGGTCCGTCCTCGAGTTGCGCACCTTATAGGATTCCTCGTATTCCGCGCTCTGTTCCCGCACCAATAAAGAGAACTACGCATCGACTTTCTGCTCGGAAAGCGGCTGTTCTCGCGGATAAAGAGTTTAAGCGTGAGCGCAAGAGGAATCGTAAGGTGTGCCCGCGGTATAAGCGGTATTGTAAAGTGTGCGGCGTTAGTGGCAATAGTGCGAAGGCCTTTTACGACCACATTCAGTCTAGGTCTCATCGCATTCAAGTTGCCAACGCTAAGGAGACTCCGCGTTGTATCCCTTGCAATCGCGTCTTTGAGTCTCACGGGCACCTGAAGTGCCACGAGAACGGTGCCGCACACTTAAAGGTAGTTTGTGAACAGAATAGTTAGGGATTTCATCCAAATAAATTCACATATCTGTTCGCAAATTTCTCCTAGTGCAACTTCATAGTAATCATATCGAATTTCTTAGACGGGTGGGCTTGCCATTGTGTTGACTATCGGTTAACGGCTTGGGATCCCCGAACGGATTTTCGAATACTTGAAGTTTATTTGCACTAAAATGGAAGATCAAGGAGGAGGAGGATCCATCAGAATCGACAAACTGACGGACTCCAACTTCTACGTGTGGAAGCAGAAAATACAACTTCTGCTTGCTCTACGTGATGTTGACCAATACATCGTTGAGGGAAGAGTTCCAAGTGAGGAACGCGCGGAAGAGCGTAAGAAGTGGATCAGAGGTGACAGTAAAGCTAAAGCACTGATTGGTCTCTCCC